AAACAATGAATCATGGAACACTACATCTAAAACTAATGATGTAATGTATGGGGATTAACATAAGAATAAAAAAAAAACAATGGAATAAATCAAACCAAAGATGATTAAAAACCTTTAGGAGAAAACTACAAATTTTATTGAAGAGCATAAAATAAATGTAGGGATGGATATTCATGCTTATGAATGGGAAACCTGAATACTACAAATATTAGGTGAGACTGCTTATTGTTATATCTTTCTTGGTGGAAATAGCTTTCTGATGTGGCACTACCGGGCTCTCTCAACCCCTTTACTCCTCTACTAGGAGCAGAGTGACTTAATTGATAAACTCAGGAGGATTAAACTGAGCATGTTTAGCTCCTGGCTTTCCTGTTTTGGGAAGGAACGTATTGCTACAGAAAGACCTGTCTTCCTCCAGAAGAAGCTCTCCTCCTATGTGGAAAGAATTCAGTTAAGTATTTCCTGTTACTGGGTGATCATAATTGCCTATTTCTGGGATCTGTTAGCAGCCCTATTTGGCTTTCTCATGAAGCTAAGCAAAATATTTTCACCTCTCAATCTGCCACTGTCATATTTGTCAGTTTGTTCAGATGTTAGGTGACTGTGAAGGTGCTGCTTATTTGATCCCTCCAAAGCCTCCAACAGGAAAAATAGCAGATTTCTCCCCAAATTAATTTATATATTTCTTGCAATTCCAAATAACATGTCAATAAGACTGTCACATAACTTCAAAAGCTGTTTTCCAAAACTCATAGGAAGTGTAAAGGGCCAACAACAGCTGAGACAGTGAAGAGAGAAAAAGAGGAGGAGGAAGGGAAGGAATATTGGAGGTGATTTCTCTACCAAACACCAAGATTTAATATAAAACTTTAATAATTAACCTGTATAATATTGGTACAGGGACTGGTAGTCCAATGAATGCAATTTAGAACCCTGAAACAGATCCTCTTATATATAACAATGGCAGATTATATTATCATCAGTTGGAAGAGGGAAGTAGTCAATAAATTGTGCTTGGATAACTGTCTATACATATGGAAACAGATAAATTCTCACATATAAAAACTGATTATATACAATTGTAAGTAAATTAACTGATAAATTAGAAAAGTAACATACTCACTGGATTGCCATAAACCGTAAGCTCTCTGAGAGAAGAGATACCATCAAGTTTTTCCAGTTCTGCCATATCCTATTCAAAAGTTAATCAATAAATTACTGTTTGGTTAGCTCCAATATTTTTAAATATACAGTGATTTGACACCAGTCAGAATGGCTAAAATTAACAAGTCAGGAAATGACAGATGTTGGCAGGGATGCGGAGAAAGGGGAACCCTCCTACACTGTTGGTGGAA